TGCAATGAAATTTCGGATATAATTTAGCTGTAGCAGCAACGTTTATTCAAATAAATTAGTACGGTTACATGTATATGTAAACTTCAAACATATTTCAAGGAATTCAAAGGCAAACTTTATGTCATAACTTACTTAACATATTGAAACGGTCAAAATTAAATGCTTTCAGGTATCCCGTCGCTAAACAGTTTGCCCACACCCCCCTGATGCCCCCCCCCCAAAAAAACAATTACACAGCAACCTTGCATATGGTAAATAAAGTAATTTCAGTCAAAAAGAGAATCAGGTATTATAATATAGTAAGCTTTGTTTCGGGTCGAAAATGACTAAGTGCCGTACTTTTATAGACAATCATGGAAATTAATTCGTAGACTTTTCAAAAATCTCCCAATTTCCCCCCTCCCCGTTTACAATGTTGGTTTGTGGTCCAATAACCATGCTTTGAACCAACATTGTGGTAGGGGGAGGGGGCGAGTTACTATTTCTAGCGATCATGGACGTTTCTATTAACTAAAGATAAAATGGCTTTACAAAATAGTAAGGCAAGATGCGTTTGAAAAAAGTCTACGGATATTATTTTCATGATTGTCTAAATTTAAATACAAAAATCGCGCGGGGATATTTGTAGAAGCGGTGTATAAATCCTCATTAAAGCTCTACAGCATGGCAGATTCTATATGTTATATTGAATATTTATGAGTTTACTTTTCAACAGATCATAGTACAGAAAGATAATCAAGAAACTTACATCATACACTGTCTGCTTTTACTTCAACGGAAAATCTCTTCAAATAATGTAATAGTTCATTTGGTAATAAAGACTCTTTCAAGCATATACCCAAGAATTTAATATATGATCCACTGCTGCATACAATTAGCCTGTATTTACAAAACGTAATTCTGCGTAATGACTGATGTAAATAATATTTGAAAGTTAATAATTAAATAACTAACGCATTAATTAATAACTAACGCATTGTTGTCTATTTTATGAGGGAGATTCAAATTTTTGTCCGTCAACCGAAATGTTGGAGGTACGAGACGTGACTGATTGCAGTGACTATTTCATTAACCTCTATATATTACATATAGGACAAGTTACTGCATGTTACCACATGTTACTGTTCATGTTACTATAAGTGTACTACATTTTTTACCATATAATTATTTAAATAAGTTCTTCGTATGTTACCACGTGTTACTGTACATGCTACTGCACATGTTACAATCAATTTATTATATTTTACTACATAATCTCAACAAGTTACTACATGTTACTGCTGTTTTCTATAAAAATAGAAGTATATACTTTATATAAAAAACAGCAGTAACATGTAGTAACATGTTGAAATTTTCAACATATTGCTATCTGTTATTGCTGTACATTATATAAAGTATACATACTTTAATAATTATAAAAAAAACATCAGTAACCTGTTCAAATTATATAGTAAAATATAATAAATACATAGTAACATGCGCAGTAACATGTACAGTAACATGTGGTAACATGTGCAGTCCCTATTTAAAATTTGTTTATATCATATCTCACACTCTTTATTCCTTCTATGTTAATTATAACAATTTACTGTTACAACGAAATAAGCACTACTCTGTTACACAAGGGTTGCCGAGCGGGGTATGTTGGAGTGTGACCCTCACCCCCCCCCACCAACTTCTTCGAAAGCTTGTCGGTAAAATGGAGATTATGTAGGGAAAACTGTGACCTGTTGGCAAATAAGTTGGTAAAATAGAGTTGGTTGGTAAGGCGAAGAGGCTGTAGAGAAACACCCCCACCTCCCTCGATCCCCCTTTGGGTCGCTATGGTCTCTGTACGTCACAGCTGTTACAGTTGACATCAACAAATAGGGCAGTATTACACTTCTCATAATAAGATATATTCATAAAAAAATTGCATGTCTTGTTATGCAGATTATTATTACCACACAAACTTCAACCGCATAAATGCAATGAAATTTCGGATATAATTTAGCTGTAGCAGCAACGTTTATTTAAATAAATTAGTACGGTTACATGTATATGTAAACTTCAAACATATTTCAAGGAATTCAAAGGCAAACTTTATGTCATAACTTACTTAACATATTGAAACGGTCAAAATTAAATGCTTTCAGGTATCCCGTCGCTAAACAGTTTGCCCACACCCCCCTGATGCCCCCCCCCCCCAAAACAATTACACAGCAACCTTGCATATGGTAAATAAAGTAATTTCAGTCAAAAAGAGAATCAGGTATTATAATATAGTAAGCTTTGTTTCGGGTCGAAAATGACTAAGTGCCGTACTTTTATAGACAATCATGGAAATTAATTCGTAGACTTTTCAAAAATCTCCCAATTTCCCCCCCTCCCCGTTTACAATGTTGGTTTGTGGTCCAATAACCATGCTTTGAACCAACATTGTGGTAGGGGGAGGGGGGGAGTTACTATTTCTAGCGATCATGGACGTTTCTATTAACTAAAGATAAAATGGCTTTACAAAATAGTAAGGCAAGATGCGTTTTAAAAAAGTCTACGGATATTATTTCCATGATTGTCTAAATTTAAAGACAAAAATCGCGCGGGGATATTTGTAGAAGCGGTGTATAAATCCTCATTAAAGCTCTACAGCATGGCAGATTCTATATGTTATATTGAATATTTATGAGTTTACTTTTCAACAGATCATAGTACAGAAAGATAATCAAGAAACTTACATCATACACTGTCTGCTTTTACTTCAACGGAAAATCTCTTCAAATAATGTAATAGTTCATTGGGTAATAAAGACTCTTTCAAGCATATACCCAAGAATTTAATATATGATCCACTGCTGCATACAATTAGCCTGTATTTACAAAACGTAATTCTGCGTAATGACTGATGTAAATAATATTTGAAAGTTAATAATTAAATAACTAACGCATTAATTAATAACTAACGCATTGTCGTCTATTTTATGAGGGAGATTCAAATTTTTGTCCGTCAACCGAAATGTTGGAGGTACGAGACGTGACTGATTGCAGTGACTATTTCATTAACCTCTATATATTACATATAGGACAAGTTACTGCATGTTACTACATGTTACTGTTCATGTTACTATAAGTGTACTACATTTTTTACTATATAATTATTTAAATAAGTTCTTCGTATGTTACCACGTGTTACTGTACATGCTACTGCACATGTTACAATCAATTTATTATATTTTACTACATAATCTCAACAAGTTACTACATGTTACTGCTGTTTTCTATAAAAATAGAAGTATATACTTTATATAAAAAACAGCAGTAACATGTAGTAACATGTTGAAATTTTCAACATATTGCTATCTGTTATTGCTGTACATTATATAAAGTATACATACTTTAATAATTATAAAAAAAACATCAGTAACCTGTTCAAATTATATAGTAAAATATAATAAATACATAGTAACATGCGCAGTAACATGTACAGTAACATGTGGTAACATGTGCAGTCCCTATTTAAAATTTGTTTATATCATATCTCACACTTTTTATTCCTTCTATGTTAATTATAACAATTTACTGTTACAACGAAATAAGCACTACTCTGTTACACAAGGGTTGCCGAGCGGGGTATGTTGGAGTGTGACCCTCACCCCCCCCCACCAACTTCTTCGAAAGCTTGTCGGTAAAATGGAGATTATGTAGGGAAAACTGTGACCTGTTGGCAAATAAGTTGGTAAAATAGAGTTGGTTGGTAAGGCGAAGAGGCTGTAGAGGAACACCCCCACCTCCCTCGATCCCCCTTTGGGTCGCTATGGTCTCTGTACGTCACAGCTGTTACAGTTGACATCAACAAATAGGGCAGTATTACACTTCTCATAATAAGATATATTCATAAAAAAATTGCATGTCTTGTTATGCAGATTATTATTACCACACAAACTTCAACCGCATAAATGCAATGAAATTTCGGATATAATTTAGCTGTAGCAGCAACGTTTATTTAAATAAATTAGTACGGTTACATGTATATGTAAACTTCAAACATATTTCAAGGAATCCAAAGGCAAACTTTATGTCATAACTTACTTAACATATTGAAACGGTCAAAATTAAATGCTTTCAGGTATCCCGTCGCTAAACAGTTTGCCCACACCCCCCTGATGCCCCCCCCCCCCCAAAACAATTACACAGCAACCTTGCATATGGTAAATAAAGTAATTTCAGTCAAAAAGAGAATCAGGTATTATAATATAGTAAGCTTTGTTTCGGGTCGAAAATGACTAAGTGCCGTACTTTTATAGACAATCACGGAAATTAATTCGTAGACTTTTCAAAAATCTCCCAATTTCCCCCCCTCCCCGTTTACAATGTTGGTTTGTGGTCCAATAACCATGCTTTGAACCAACATTGCGGTAGGGGGAGGGGGGGAGTTACTATTTCTAGCGATCATGGACGTTTCTATTAACTAAAGATAAAATGGCTTTACAAAATAGTAAGGCAAGATGCGTTTTAAAAAAGTCTACGGATATTATTTCCATGATTGCAGCTATTCAGGTATCCAATACGCCATAGTCTCGAACTCTCGTGTTCTTGTCGAAATGGGCAGTTCTTAATTTTTCTTAAGATGACCCCGCTGATAAATCTTAAGGAGAGCATCTTCACTTCTTCCTCACTCTTCCCTCCAATGCTTACATACCATACCATACCATACCATACCATACCATACCATACCATATCATACCATACCATACTGTAATGTATGCAGATGCTGCAAAGCATCTTGGGAGTAAATATATATTGTCTTGATTACATAACATGGCGTGTGACTCATAAAACATAACACATACCATACCATACCATACCATACCATACCATACCATACCATACCACACCATACCATACCATACCATACCATACCATACCATACCATACCATACCATACCATACCATACACCATACCATTTCAACCCACTGCGACTATTTAGTGCGGACGTTTTCTATTTGGCTTTATAAAATTCAAACAATTACCCTGTCGTGGCTTTGTCTTGGGTTTGGAGCTCGCTGTGATGCATGTCGCCAGGAAACACCTAAAACACAAAAGGGCGGAGGCAGCACATGCATTTTTGAAAAGTTGATAACTGGAAATTTTGAAGAAGGAAATTGCATCATTTCCCAATTCCATTAATTACATGTACATATTACACCATTATAGATTATTAATAAAATATGACCTGTGTTACCATATTTGTTTATCAGGTCAGCGACGGTCACATAGCTCAGCGTGGTTTCCAATATTTATGCCTGCCTATACACTTTAAATTATTGCCTTGGTTTGTATTGTAATTTTGTTTCATTAGCTACATGTGGTAGGAGGTCACAATACAGTCATAAATCAAATAAGCTAAGTGGATATACCATATTTACTCGATTGAACGCCGCCCCCGATTGAGCGCCGCCCCCGAATGAGCGCCGCATTTGAGATCAATTTTTTTTAAAGAGCGCCGCACTAAACGGTGTAAAAACTTTCCGCGTCAAAATTGGGACATTTAGTGGCAAAAACCTTTTAAAACTTGTCAATTTTATCGTTAAAAGTTCTTGTCATAATTCACAAATAAAATATTTTTTAAAGAGCGCCGCCCCCGATTGAGCGCCGCCCCCGAATGAGCGCCGCATGTGAAGCTCTAAATTAAAATTTAAAGAGCGCCGCGGCGCTTAAACGAGTAAATACGGTAGCCGTGAAACCAATAACAGGTTTAACATGTTAAAACAATTAAGAAATATGTATCGGTGAGATTAATCCATTTACAATGACAGTCGTACGTCCAGAAAGCAAATCAGTATCTGAAGTATGGTTCAATTAGTCTAGGACCTGTATATGAGTTTGTATGCATTTCATTTAGGACAGATAATCTCAACTGTTTTAGGGCAAGTTGACCATGACGGTCAACATGGTAACGCTGCCCGAACCCCAATCCGGGACGAAACGTCCGAAACTGACCACACCCAAAACGACGCTTTCGCCATACTGCTATCTACCAAACCATAAAAGCTTTGGCTATTCTGAGGTGCTTATATGGTTCAGAGATGGTACTTTTGGGGGTGGTCATTGGTAAGTGTGAAATGCCTAGCACTAATATTTCACAAGAAAATGGCCATGCAATAATCATAGTTAAACGTCAATTTGTGGCTTGCAAATTCAGATAAACAGCAGTGGACTTACATTACCTTTTTCCCTAAATCTTTTTGATAGAAACATAAAAGGTACTTATTTAAATATATTATCACTGGTTTGGTGTAAAATAGTTAATATTTTCTGACCGAAATAATAATTTGAAATGTGCCTACCTCCTGCAAATGGACGTATTTGGCCAAGTTCTCCACTTTACTCCGCTGTTTATCGGCGATCTCGTCGACATCCTACAAAAATGTAAATCATCTCAGACATAATGGTATCAAGAACATTTTAAACAAGTTTCAACTTGGTTTCAAGTAGATCATACCTGTTTAACCATCAACAAGGTAAATCCACAACTTTGTCCAAATTCGGCGCCATTTTGTCATCCCATGTCGCTTGTTAACAATTCAGCCTTATTACTCTTCCATCCAAGCCATTTCCATTCCACTAATAATAAATTTAACCCTTTATAACAGGAGGAAACAAAAATCTAAACAAAATATAAGAAATACGCCATTTTATCACCATGTAAAATTTTGCTCACGAGTCTTTCAAAACATTCCGTACAAATATCGCGTGACAAAGTAACAGGGACGTGACAGGAGGGGGTAAATTATTTCACGAAGATAGAAGAAGGCTGCGTGAAATAGACTAAAAGCTAAATACAATCATACAAATGTTTGTTTTATTTCTTGTAGCGACAAATATATACATATTATTATTTATTAATATGAAAAAGTCATACAAATTAAATGTTGATTGTTGGTTTTACCACGGTTTTACCATACTGTGTGGGCTTTCCTTTCATTTTTCAAGTCTCTACCCCCCTGTCACGTCCCTGTTGCTAAACCACGCGATATTTGTACGGAATGTTTTGAAAGACTCGTGAGCAAAATTTTACATGGTGATAAAATGGCGTATTTCTTATATTTTGTTTAGATTTTTTAGTTTCCTCCTGTTATAAAGGGTTAAATTTATTATTAGTGGAATGGAAATGGCTTGGATGGAAGAGTAATAATGCTGAATTGTTAACAAGCGACATGGGATGACAAAATGGTGCCGAATTTGGACAAAGTTGTGGATTTACCTTGTCGATGGTTAAACAGGTATGATCTATTTGAAACCAAGTTGAAACTTGTTTAAAATGTTCTTGATACCATTATGTCTGAGATGATTTACATTTTTTGTAGGATGTCGACGAGATCGCCGATAAACAGCGGAGTAAAGCGGAGAACTTGGCCAAATACGTCCATTTGCAGGAGGTAGGCACATTTCAAATTATTATTTCGGTCAGAAAATATTAACTATTTTACACCAAACCAGTGATAATATATTTAAATAAGTACCATTTATGTTTCTATCAAAAAGATTTAGAGAAAAAGGTAATGTAAGTCCACTGCTGTTATCTGAATTTGCAAGCCACAAATTGACGTTTAACTATGATTATTGTATGGCCATTTTCTTGTGAAATATTAGTGCTAGGCATTTCACACTTACCAATGACCACCCCCAAAAGTACCATCTCTGAACCATATAAGCACCTCAGAATAGCCAAAGTTTTTATGGTTTGGTAGATAGCAGTATGGCGAAAGCGTCGTTTTTGGGTGTGGTCAGTTTCGGACGTTTCGCCCCGGATTGGGGTTCGGGCAGCGTTACCATGTTGACAGTCATGGTCAACTTACCCTAAAACAGTTGAGATTATCTGTCCTAAATGAAATGCATACAAACTCATATACAGGTCCTAGACTAAAATAGAATATTATATATATATATATATATATATATATATATATATATATATATATATATATATATATATATATATATATATATATCTTATAAATATAAATATATATATATACATATATATGTATATATATATATATATATATATATATTAAGCTACGTTTACACGCTGCGATTTGTCGGGCCGATTTTGGTAAATAATCGATGCCCCTTCTTCGACATTTAGCGATTTAAACGTTCAATTGAAGCTGTCCGCTCTCTCGTCTGTTTATATTATAGTTTACTGCGTGCGAAAAGTTTTCAACAATTTTACAACGGAAGAAAAATCGTTGAATCGTGAGAAAAATCTGTGTTTTGTTACAGATTTTTCTCCCGATTTTGTGAATCGCAAGGTGCTGACGCGAGTACTCACGACAGGTTATTTACATACAGCGAGCAAAATCGGCCCGACAAATCGCAGCGTGTAAACGTAGCTTTATAATACCATTAAGGCCATATAAAATAAATTCCTTGATTCTCATCACCGCCCGACGATATTTTGGTTTCCGCGTTGATATATTTTTGTATTTTGTTATAAAATATAAATTTACCGCCCGACCGAACATCTTCAGACATTTAGTTATTTTTATATTTTATATTGGAATTTTTGCGATATAAAATTGTTTTATCGTTAATATTGCAACATGTTAAGGGATGCTTGGAATACGGAAGGAAAAAATGGGCTTATAGCCTTATTACAACGATTTGTGTGAACCCTTATGCATGTTCATTAGCGCATGTGCAATTATCCACTTATATAGCGTTCTTCTATAATATATTTAAGAGCAAATATAAAAAGACCTCCCTCTCCAATTTTTTAAATTTTAAACTTTTTTTTTATATTTTGACATAAAATATAAAATATAAACCTCCCGCCTCCTGAGAGTTTTTAAAATTTAGCGATGAGAATCAAGGAATTTATTTTATATGGCCTTAATATTTCTGTGATTTCCAAAGTGAAGTGTCACAAACCAAAATGAACATATTTCTCCACGAACAATGACTGAACCCTTCAACTGAATGCGAAGTTCCGTTAAAATGCAATGAAATTTCTTTCAAGGTTCTATTTGTTTGAAATTGGCAGTTTAAAATGGCACTAAAAACCCAATTTTAAATATAATTTGTCGGGCGGTTCATTTATATTGTATAACAAAATATAAAAAAATTTCACGCTGCTCTTACTGCCATTTGCGTTCAAGCTTGCAGCGTGCAAATTTTTTCACGTTTGTTTACGTTTCAAACGTAACGTTTCAAAGGTTATCACGCCCGTTTGGCAGATGAAATGTATACCTGTCGCGATTTAGGAAGAGCATATTTGCGTTGGGTTTTCAGTTGGCCCAACAACCCCCAACGCTTAATTAGTTATTCCAGAATCTTGTGACAATGCCTATTGCCTAAAACTTAATACTTCATGTTAGGTTGTCAAGGACCGGAACAACTGGGGGGTGTAACACCCTCAAAGAAAGGTCAAGGAAGGGGGTCCAACTTGCTCACAGGATGAGGGGGGGGGTTAATACTGGAATAAACCCAACAGGCACAACAGACCCAACAAGCACAACAAAACCCAGCAGCACAACAGACCCAACAGGCACAACAGACCCAACAAACCCAACGGACCCAACAGGCACAACAAACCCAACAGGCACAATAGACCCAACAAACCCAACAGGCACAACAAACCCAACAGGCACAACAGACCCAACAAACCCAACAGCACAACAGACCTAACAGGCACAACAGACCCAACAAACACAACAAAACCCAACAGCACAACAGACCCAAAAAAACCCAACAGGCACAACAGACCCAACAGGCACAACAGACCCAACAGGCACAACAGGCACAACAGACCCAACAGGCACAACAGACCCAACAGGCACAACAGACCCAACAGACCCAACAAAACCCAACAGCACAACAGACCCAACAAAACCCAACAGATTGAAAAAAGCCAACAAAACCCAACAGATTAAAAAAGCCCAACAGACACAACAAAACCCAACAGATTAAAAAAAACCCCAGCAAAACCCAACAGATTAAAAAAACCCCAACAGATTAAAAAAGACCCAACAGATTAAAAAAGACCAACAGACCCAACAAAACCCAACAGCACAACAGACCCAACAAAACCCAACAGATTAAAAAAGCCAACAGATTAAAGATTAAAAAAAGCCAACAGACCCAACATATTAAAAAAACGCAACAAAACCCAACAGATTAAAAAACCCAACAGCACAACAGACCCAACAGATTAAAAAAACCCAACAGATTAAAAAACCCAACAGCACAGCAGACCCAACAAAACCCAACAGATTAAAAAAACCAACAGATTAAAAAGCCCAACAGACCCAACAAAACCCAACAGATTAAAAAAAAAAACCAACGCACAACAGACACAACAAGACCCAACAGATTAAAAAAAAGCCAACAGACCCAACAAAATCCAACTGATTCAAAAACCCAACGCACAGCAAAACCGAACACACTCTTCAGGCTATTTTCATGTTGCGCGCAATGCTATTAACTAAGGTAATTCATGACCAAGTGCTTGACGTGTATTTTCGTGTATTTATTTAATATCTAATATTTTCCAAATCAAAAAATAAAGAAAATAACTATTCAAAAAGTGAGAAATGTGTGATAGTGCATACAGTAATCTACAATTTCGGAGTACTGAGGTGAATTTTCATTAGATGATCAATTACAGCTGCCCTTTCAACTACAACTTTGCAGATAAATTTAATGTCTTTAATTCAAACCGCAAACGCAGAAAATATATTTTGTTTTCGTTTGAATTTTAGGGTATTGTAGATGGACATTATCGAGTCGATAATAATTTCCATCTTCAATATACCCTTCAACGAATATTCATTAGCATAATTTCAGTAATAAAAATGACCTTTGAGCATTCTGATTGGCTCCCTCAGCAGTAAATCTGAGGCAATAGTTACTGCTCAGACAGCTTTAGGCAGTTTATGCAAATTATATTCATAAAATATGTAAACATGTTAAGGTGGCTCGATACAGTTTTCAAAAATTCAGGTGTTCAACACTTTGACATGTTCAAACTACGCATTTTTAGGATTTATTCAACAGATATTGAGGTTTTTATATATTTTGATCTCTACTTTCAAATTATATTAGTTTTAGTAACAGATAGTTCGTTGCTATGACGACATACGTATACGAAATTCACTCCAAATCGTCTCGTTTTGTTCGAAAAGAAGCATGGTGACCCCCAATTTGTTTTCTTGCATTATTTTACTTGGACGAAAAGTTAACAATTAGCAAAATATAAAAAAATTCTGTAATACCATTTTTTTGGAAAATGTCATATTCTTCGGTAAAATTTTTTTGGCATTACAGAATTTTTTTATTTTTTGTATAATGAAAGTTTTTAGTGGTGCAATACAGCATAGGTCACCAGGCAAAATAAAGAGATATAGCACATTGTTTTTCTAAAATGGAAAATTTTAATGACGTCAGCAATTGACATAAAATGCTATAGAACACGCGCAATGACGTGAGATGGCGCGAGCAACTGGTCACGTCAGGTAATTTTGGAAGTTTGTTCATTTGTTATAATCAGTTTCCGCGACCTACCCGTAAAAATGGTCACCCGGTTTTGAGTTCGTGATTCTTGAGCAGGATTTTTGTGATAACTATATCGAGCCACCTTAATTAGTTGTATATTAGTCGTTTTAGTATAATTAGTGAAATTATACTAAAACAATGAGTCGTCTCAGGCTCGGTGACTAGAAGGCTACAGTATATTCACTTCGCCTTAGGCTCAGTGAATATAGGCTTCTAATGACCTCGCCTTCGGCAACTAATTGTAAAATAGAGTGAGATGCCAACAATATATTGATATTTACCCATAACATATACATGGCAGTACCCTAGTATATATACGCATTGAGCCGCAACGCATCCCAGTGCGCCCTACTTATTTTTTACTTGTCTAATGCCAGACAATTTTACTAGTCAATGGGGACGCTCTGCAACTTAATGTGTTAAAAAATAGTGTTGTGTTTTTAGTCATATGTATTTAAACATATTATCACAAAGTTTTAAAGAAAATTCAAAGAAAATATTTTTCAAACATGCATGACCGTTAATCGAACAGCTGCCTACCTACAAATGCGGACTTCATACTTTTTTAACTTGTTTGCAGCGCTGCATGCTGTCCAACATTAAATTTTATTATTGAATTAAAGTTAACCCCATTCCTATTCTTAGTTTACGACTGGGAGTAAAAGTCTCTTTTACTCTCATGGGAGTACAAGCGACTGTGAGACTGGGAGTAAAAGTTATACGGTCTGGTATTATTATTATTAAATAACAGTGTTCCACAGTCCAGCAGTTACCAGTATTTTTATTATTACTGTACAAGTCAAACAAACCTTTTTAACATGTGCATGACTTATAGGTAACAAGATACATGCATAAGCTAATTTGTCACCTGCACAATAATTAATCAAGTCGTGATCTAGACAACTCAGCCAAAGTATCAAAATTGTTTTCATGTGACATATATCACAAAATTCTAAAATCAAAGCTACAAAGAGGACTATCGTATATGTTCTGTGCAGTATATATTCTTGAAAATATTACTGATGTCAGTATTATTTCCAATGGCTTTTTAAAACTACAGTATGTTATATACACAGGAAGTTACAGTCATAACCATTGGATATCATATTTTAAATTTGGACTATTGGATATCACAAGCTTACAGTAGTAACCATTGGGATACTAAGCCATAATCATATCGTCTCATAAAGCTACCTCCCTGTTGCTTTTTTGTCACACTGTAAACCTCTGAATTAAAGCCCCCCCCCCCAATATAACCCCATTGTGTTTAAGTCCACCACATTTACTAATGCTTAGGCCAGTCCAAATATAACCCCTGCCCTCCCCCAAATATAAGCCCCCATGTATAAGCCACCTTCCTTATTATTGGACAGGTAATTATTAAGGCAGTGACGAAGATTACTTGTAACAGCTCAGACAAGTGATGATAATTTCATTACTAACAGTATCATAACATGTTAACCAACTTGTTTTATTATGTGTTATATACTTTATTTTAAAACGTGAACAGTACAGTATATACTGTACAGGTACAGTACAATAAATATTTATATTATTTACGAACATCAAATGCCATCCATATATGTAAGCCCCCCCCCCCCATGTATAAGCCTGTCACAGATGTTTAAGACTGAACATATGTCCTAATATTTGGAGGTTTTCGGTATGCGTTTGTAAGCAGAAATATTCTTTATCCTTAACAGTGTCTGCGTTACAAGATTCTTCATTACGATATTCATGTCACTCAGCTCATTAATCTTGTTTTTTAACTTAACAAAGCAGTTTGAATTGAAATTTCAGAAAATTGAATTGTGTGTTATCCGGACTTGAAATGCATTACTCTCCAATGGGTAACCACCAAAAAATTTGGCTTTTGGGTTGAATTTCTTGTCTGCTCAGTTGCTACTGCAAGTCTTACCCAGTGAACTCTAATGTAAATTATGCACAACTTTTTGAACATGCTATGTGAATGTGCAAAAGATGAGTTAGTTGTATCATTAAGTTCTGCATCACAACAAATATTCCAACAAAAACTGAAAATATCACTAGTACAGTATATGCTGTAACAGCATGTACATTTTAATTTAGCTCAGCAATCAATACACATATACAGACCTGCTAACCCTTGAGTAGCAGAAATAGTGAGTTATTGCTATCTAACAAGTCGTGAGATTGACTGAAAAATTGTGAGACTTAGAAATGTTCAGGTTTGCTCATTAACATGACCAGGGTTAACTTTAACAACACTAGAAAATAATCAATAGATATTCAATCTTAGGATAGTATGCATTTATATTTTGTTAATATAACCGTAATGCAAGGCTTATGTATTAAAAATAGGCAGTTTTTTCTTTATGGCTTCAGTAGCTTCCAGTGTCAAGTCTCACGAAAAAATAGCATATTTCTTTTTTCCGCGGGTGTTTGGAACACTTAATCGTAAGAAAGCATCTGGGGACTTAATTGTGATAAAGCATCAAAAATTGTGCATCTCACGATTAAATTGTGAGACTTGGCAGGTCTGCATCTAGGTTACAGCCATGATTGAGCTGAATAAACATTAAAACATATTTATAAAAATTTAAATAATGATTTTTATTAAAAGCTTATAGCTATTTCAGGGTTTTTTTTTTCAGGATTCTCTCTTGGGTCCGTTTTTGCAGAAAAGATTGAGTTTAGCTGAACAGCTGGGGTGGCTGCACCCCTCCCCCTACCGGGGGGGGCTGACACCTGTACTCAATAAATGTAGTTGAGATGGAATGTGTTAAAGCAGGGGCACTAAGGGATACTATAAACTGGTTAAAGATGGTGAATGCATAGTTTTTCTTGTGTTGTGAGAGGAATTCCAGCCATTTTTTTTAATTGTCGGGTTTCCAACTGAAAACTAATTTCCACACGTCACAAATTTAACTCAAACTATTATTAGCACTGATGAAGATCCGGGCTTACGGATCGAAAGCTTTGCAGTAATAAATTTATGTGGTGTTTCCACAAACAAAACTATTATATTTTATCACCATGCAAACATACAAAGAACTTATTACTTCATTTTTACTGCACTGAAACTTTGGTGAGAAGATTGAGTTTCAAAACTCAATTCAAGATTGAGTTTTTGGGGCCGTTTAACAGCCCTAAAAAATCCCTGAAAAAAAACCTGTATTTAACCCATCAAGTCGCATTACGCCCTACTTGATTATTTTACTCTGTCTAACGCCAGGTGATTTTACTCATCAAGGAGAGAGGGCCATGGTGCTTAATGGGTCAAACTTAACAGTAAAGCTGGGCTTGCATTGTCCTAAGTGGTATACACAACAAACATTAGTGTTTGAGGGTTAGGGCTTGTGTTGGCTGCAGATCAGCTCAAATATCACCCACATGGGAAAGGCTTTTATAATAGAAGTGATCATATATTGTGAGCATTTTATTGACTTATAATAATAGAATGAAATATAATAACAATGTAAGTAATTGCAGGAGCAGTTTTTACTCAGTAATATATGACTTGATTGCAAGTATGAATTAGATCGATAAAAGTCGATCAATCCAATGTAATGTTCATTTCATACAAACCTCCAGGCTCAATGAAACCAATACTATTTATGATATTTTTGTGTGCGCTTTGATGTTATGTACTCAGGTGAATATAATGTTTTTGATGTTACTCTGACTGTATATCCATGCACCCCGAGCAGGCTGAAAAGTTAGCCTGATATCATGATCATAGAACACATTGGTATCAAAGGTACTAGACTTAGTTCCGAAATACCACACACTCGAACATACTTGGCCTCGTAGCTCATTTGGCAGAGCATTGGACTAGTACCCCAAAGGTCACAGGATTCGATTCCCACCGTATCAGGCTAACTTTTCAGCCGGCCTGTCCGGTGTGGGTATACACTCAGAGTAACATCATATATAATTATATAAATTGATCATCTGGTACTGTATGTTACAGGTTCATTGACTGATAATTATCAGGTATGGATTTTGATTAGTTGAAAAAGAATATGCATGCAATTTCAGTGATGCTGAAATATTAATTCTGTATTATATTTTAATATTTAGTTGATTAATTGTCAAAATAAACAAATGTGAATGCAATTACAATATGGCTCATTAAATTCACAGAAAACTTCCCCAGCAGTAATATATAAAATTGGAAATAGTTTTTCAGAAATCTTGTGGTCAACAGAAGTTAACCATACAGAAATATATAAACCAAAACAATGGATTGAGTTTTCATCTTCAGTTTATAAAATACTATGTACAGCACTAATCACGCTTTGAAGTTGTCCATTAACAGTCCAATTGATAATAAATTGACAAATTGGGTTTGATTGTTATCGATTGTTAAATTGCAAGATCCAAAATGCAGATACAATGACAATATTTATAATTTTTACACTGTAACCATATTTATAAGCATACATGCAGATGACAAAAAAACTCAAAAAACTTATAACAACACAGTGAATTATCTTCAGTTTAAAAATATATTAAAGTTGGTTAATACCAGACTTAAGCAAATCGCAATAAAAATAGAAACAGTTTGGTACGTTTTGGGTCAATCAAGTAATTTTTAAACTTTATAATTCATGTATAAATACAGACATTATCACTAATGATAATAGTTGTAGCGAAAATATCCATGGACAGTTATACTTCGATATAACAAATTATATATTTTCTACGTTTAAGTTATGGCTTACAGTTTTGTTTTAAGTTTGAAGACATTAAATAATCCGATATCGTG